ATTATAAGTCCGCTCAACATTAATGTCCCTTGATACCGTTGTCTGTGTCATGCCGTCTAGTTGCCAATTTGGCTGCGAGGGTACTTTTTGTTGCAACTTGTGCCAGTCGACCTAGCGCCGCTCGGGGATTGGCAATATTGTGCTCGACAAAGGAACGATAACTTCGGTGAGTCCAGACCGGGTGGCGTTGCAAGGACATGCGCATTAAGGTGCAGAATTTCTATCCCTGACGGGCCCCTATCTTCTCTGTTTTATTTTATTTTTTAAAAGCCGACACCGACTGTGGTGTAGCCAAAAATCGGATATATTATCACCCAACCATCCCTGGTTACCAACTCGCGGGTTCATATGGCTGTTTCTGAGTTTGTTCTAGTTACATACTCCTGTGAACAACTATAGGAGTTAACCCACACGAGTGTCAAGGATGACGAAGTACCATGATATGAGACATTCATTCCTCTGGTAATTAGCAGAAGTCCACAGACTCCGACTATGGTACATATATACAAGTCTCTGGTAGAACACAAGTGCATACATTCCAATTTCAGTCTATGTAACTGGATTATCGTGGGTTCCGGTCATTACGGGTGTTCATGATGCAATTTGTCACGGATCAGGAACTCCCGAAGAACCCGAGGGATAACTTCCCTTCCATCATACCTTCCCGGGATGACACATGTCTTCCGGGAACCTTGCAAACCCGTTCCTTCATCCTAACTCCAGCCTCTTCCAGCCGGTCAAGAACCACTCTCCACAAGCCTGGCACCTCTGTCGGACCTCGGACACCTGAGCCAAGGCCCGTTGCTGTGCTTCTTCCATCTAGGATGGCAAGCGCGGCGAACGCGACCGGGAGCCCAACGCATGTCGCCATCGCGGACGCTTTCGGTGTGCCGTAGGTGATCAACGTCGACGTATGTACCTCGGCCAACTCTTTCATTTGGGCTTTGTCCAGTCCCCCATCCCATTCGTGATCGGGGACAACGACGATTTCGTGTGTGAGAACGACCATATCCCGTTCGCCGGGAAGGTAGCGCAGCTTATGAGCAAGCACTTGGATGAAGAGGTCGATCGGGGCAATAACTGGCGATGGTGGCCCGGGGAGAGGGGAAATATTGGCCGGAGATAAGGATGGGTGGGGTGGCATGATGCCCAACCACATTAGCGAGTCGATCACCTTCTCAACGATCTCTTTCCTATGTCTTCCTTGTAAGATGTCGACTAGGGCGGCCTGGATGGAGTCATAGTCCCCGGGAACCTTCATTCCTAGACTGTGTTGGAGTGCGAAGCGGGTGAGATCGGTCCATCCAGTGAAAGGTACCTGTGGATGCAGTGGGAGAGGAGAAAGAGAGAGGAGACCAATTGTCTTGAATGCGTCCATGAGGTCCGAGAACCCAGGATATCTACGGAAGGTGCAAACGCGTGAACGATACGTCGTCGGTAGCGGTGCGACGTGAGGAAAAGCACATTGAGATCGTTCGGAGCTGACGCACCTCAGTGTTCCCCTCAGCACGGTCCTCAACTTACCCAGATCGCCTAGGCCATACGTCTCTACATACGGCAAGCTGTCTCTGTTCGCAATGCCTTCAAACCGGAGAGCTGCGCCTTCCGGGACAGACACGTCAGGGAAATATCTTTGCAGAATGCCTTCAGAAGGGATCTCGACCACCTATCAGTGAGGAAAGAAAATTAAATACGTTAGTACGGTTATTGACAAAGATAATCGATCGGGTCATAAAAACCAGATAGTCTGAACGAAGAAAATAACGACGGCACAATTTACCTTTCCACCGAGCTTGAATCGTGCCCCGTTTAAAGCAGCACTCAATACGCCTCTCGGACTCCAGCTAAACTTGTAGCCTAAAGGAACACTGTCCCCTTGTGTCGACGACACGACGTCCGGGGCCGGCAGGCCACCGCAGAAGCTTGTGAAAGACAACACACGCTTGTGCTCGCTGCGGAGGCGGGAGAGAAGGGAGTGCGCAGAACAGTGGTCAATACCTGGATCGAGTCCTATCTCATTAAGGAGGAGCACGCCAGATGATTCAGCTCTGACAGATTTGGGTCGTCGTTTACTTATCGGAGACAAGGAACCTACGACATACCGTTCGTGTAGAGCACGCATAGCAGGGGATATGTACGACGCTGTTACCATATTCTTTCCAAGCTGAATGCACAATTCCGCAACAGAAGGGTGGAATGGGACCGGAAGCAAGCTGAAGACGTTTGATTCAGAATCAGCTGTCACTGAATGCATGCACGCATGCTGCTGTCTACTACAGCTCGAGCTAGTTGGGTGATAACATACCTTATAACAATGTCAGCCTGTTCGATGAGCCGTGCCATTTCTTCATTGTCATTGACGTCCAGAAAACGTGCACGAGCATTGGGTAAGTGTCGAGTAAGGTCCTTTGCTTCGTCGATCGAATTACTCGCTGCAATTGTAAGGATTCGAGGGTGAACGAGATCGGTATGTGCAATATACAGTACACATATCATACAGGTGTATGCATGCAAATGACGAAGTGGATGAGACAAACAAGTCCGTGCAAGGTATAACAGGGAGCACTACTGACCAACAATCAACTCAACGTCTCCCCGTTTAGAGATCTCGTCGACGGCAGGCCCAGCTACCATCCCGCTCCCGAGCATCAACACCTTCTTGTGTGCAGCATTCTCAGCAGGTGCCAGCTTTGTCGATGAGGTCGTAGTATGCACTGTGGACGATGCCGAGGCTGAACGCCACTTCTCCACTGGATCCCTCAACCACTTATGTTTCCCCACCAATTGGCCCTCTCTTGCTACAGTAGCACGCTCCAGCGCCTCTTCGTACTGACATTGTTGCTCTGCACTCGCACCCGCACGAGTTCCGCGATACCCACGGACGAGCGCCCTCAGATATGGCATCAATACGCCACTGAAGTGGTTTGATGCGTCGAGAGGTAAGCTGGACGGAAGAATGTCAACAGACATGATATGCACAGCTGGCAGATGAGGCGGAAGGAAGGCCGGGCGGTGCTTAAACACTGGTTCGGAGAGAGTGGACGCTTTGGGCATGAACTCGAGGCCACCCTAGAAGAAAAAGACAGGCGACGTTTAGTACACGCCGCAGATGCTCGGTGGACGATGGACAACGGAAATACTTACTTCAATATCGCAGCTAATATCTCCAATGATTCCGAACCTCGCAGGGCCGATCTCAGCAGCACGATTGAGTGCGACTGCGAGGTCCTCGTTGGTCATCAAGCGGGGGAAGCCTGGAAGCCAACCAACACCATTCAAGAACAAAGTGAGGTACGGAGCAACCTAGGTGGAGAATATTGTAACTGCGTGGTAAAAAGAGTGACTCGCATTACCTTAGTAGCAAAGTCGGATTTGTAAAGGGATGGATTTTGGTAGTAATGAGACCGACTGTATTGGCCTCCGTCCGTACGAGAGAGGTAATCTTCTGGTGACGCGTGTACCAGGTATACCTGTAAGATGTCAATTTAGCTTGCCGCGGAATAGTGGCGGTCATGGTACCTTGCGCAAATCCGTCTCTGTGCGATTCAGTTACTTCATGACAGGGCTTGTTGAATATCATGTACCTACCAGGGTTACCAACGAGTGAAGGCAGGTCCTTCACGCCGACTTTGACGATAGGAAGTTCCTCGAGAATCGATAAAACACCCTGCGAAACCTGTCCATTTCTGTCACAGCTCGTTAACCTATCAATAGCACAGTTGACTGCTGGACAACTTACCCAGTAAGTCCTATAACGAATGGACCTAGTGGCTTCGGTGTTCCATCCTCAGAGATCCGCTGTCCAATGGCACGCAACGTTGTGCGGAGCGACGGGATCGAGGGATGAGTATGCGGTCGTGGTGTGTGCTACGTAGAGATGTGGTAAATCGGGTCAGGGGCGCTACTACTTGCTTAACTTACCAAGAAAGGAGAGGCTACACCCATTTCGAGGTGTGCATGAGCAAGCGCAGATAGTGACTCTAATGCGCCGGCGACTGGAGGTTCGGTGTGTTGTAAGGGCGAGTGCGGTGGATAGGGGCGGGTTGTTCTTACCACCAGCGAACCATCCGAAGCCGACGGTTCTTTTGCCATCAGAACCCGTGAGAAGCTCGTAGTCTATCAATCTCGGAAGTGTGGGGAATTGTGAGTCACTTTCGCCAAGGAAGCGCGACAATAAGGGCATATTGTATGGTTGCCCTTTGGTCGTATGGGAGAACATAAGGTGAGTACGGTGGACTTGCAACCCTGGAGGTTGGGCTGCAGACACCGGAGATGTGATGAGCTCATTCAAGGGGGTTTCCTTGATCCCGACGATGATATGCGCTGGTTCGAGGGTGGGGTGAAGTTTAGCGCCGGCCTGTCGATAAAAAGAAGTGGCCCCGTCAGTTTAGTAGAAGGCTCGTCAACATGAACAGACCAAAACGGAAATTAATTGGTTTGTGGATCTATTGTCATTTAGTAGTAGTAGAGGGAGTGCCTACCTTGAGGAAGTGGTCCACGTGGAAGACCCTCCTGTCACAGGGTTGTACGAGGACGTCCACGCCGTCTTGCTGAACGAGCTCTTGGACGGCGTCGGGTGTGAGTGGACATCTGCGCTCCCAGATTCTGGAAGGGTCCTCTCGTCGAATACCAACGGTGAGTTTAGGGGGTGCGAGCGTTGTGAGGGACCGTTGTGGGGCGTACTTGAGCAGCCTACCAGACAGGGAACGACGTAGACCAGTAGCAGACATAACCGATGAGGAAGATAAGTAACGGCGCTAGTAGTCTCCTGGCTACATGCTTAAGTACTCAGCTGGGGTGCCGGTGAATGGAGAAGATCCGTCCGGACTGGGGTCCCCTCTCATCCATTGCCGAGACGTGTGGACATCAATATGAAACTAGGCCTGGGTCTGATCAGATTATTGATGCCACAGCATGGCCAACCACCACGTAACGAATGGTTCCATGCTGGTAGACCAGTCCGTCCTTCTATGAATGACGACGATGCAGACATGCAGCCATCGGATATGGTGTAACGGCTAACATGGCTGTCTTTCAACCACGCCAAGTGGGTTGTACACAGCAGCCCCGGGTTCGACTCCCGGTATCCGAACTTTTTGGTGGTTTTTTCTTCTGTGCACGACGCTGACGTAATACACCTAGTTAGAAACAAGTTTTTGCAAGGCCATCGTCGAGTTGGACATGGCACGCCTCAAAACAGAGAAACAAAAACCAAAGACATCCCAGAAAAATCAGGAAAAGAAGTCGAAGAAACCAAAATCAAAAGATGTGTCCGAAACATCCAAATCAACAACTAACTCTCTTCAGTTCGATGCATCATCGCGTTGGTACGACAATGTACCCCCTCTGCAGCCCATGGCCTTGAATGCTGCCGCTCTGACACCTGAAAAGCTCTCCTCTCTCCTGGATCACGCGACGTCATTACATGCCAACGTGGTCAATGCGTTTCAGTCAACCTCCACGGTCACATCTTCCAGTTCCGACTATAGTTTCCTCCAGAATATATTGCAGACCGGAACGCTGTCAGATCGTCTGAGTGCACTCACTCTACTTGTCCAGAGCAGTCCCTTGCACAATACTAAGGCGCTCGAAGCTCTTAAAAACTTGGCGGAACGGGGTAAGGGCAAAGGCGGAAGAGGTGAGAGTCTCAAGGCTTTGCGTTGCGTAGTGGATTGGTGGGTCGGCGGCGGGGCACCTGATCGCAAGCTAAAGTAAGTCCCTCTTACCCCCCTTTCGTTGAGCGAAGCTGTATCACTCATCCGCAGGTACTTCCGGGACCAGCCTCTGTCTCATCCCGATGTCAACGATCGGCATCTTGTGATATGGTATTTTGAAGATTGGTTGAAGAAGTATTTCTTCTCCATTTTACAAATCCTCGAGGTCCGTGCCAAACACACGGAAAATAATGGTGGCTCCAATCTGCCTCTAGATGCTCTCTGCGGATCCACTTTCATACGTTCGAATGCAGGCTCTCTCCCTGGTCTTTACTTTACTGAAGGACAAACCTGAGCAGGAGCAAAACTTGCTCCGACTGCTCGTCAACAAGCTCGTACGTTCCACATACCCCCACCATGTACAGCCGAATCCTTACACCCATCCACATCCTTTTCACTTTTCAGGGGGACTCCGATAAGACGATATGTTCCCGCTCGTCGCATTACATCCTTCAACTTCTCCAGGTACACCCGTCGATGAAAGCGGTGGTTATCCGCGAAATGACATCACTTGTCCTTCGGCCGAGCACATCAACAGCGGCAACAGCACCCCCTCCAACAAAAAATACGCACATACGATTCAACAAAGATGGATCGGACCCTAAGCCAAAGCCGCACCCAAAATCAAAATCAAAAGCAGATCCTGCCACTAAACAATCGGTCAACGAACACGCACGCTACTACGCTAGCATTACCATCAATCAGATCATGTTCCGCCCAAACGAAAAGGACGTCGCAATGCAGGTCATCGACGTGTATTTCAAGCTGTTCGAGGATATTCTTGGTGAGGGAAGATCGGCGGAGGAGGAGGATGACGATGCGCGCTCTGAGGCGTCCCAGGCTCACGACAAATCAAAGCCGAAGCGGAAAGGGAAGGAGGTGGTGGGTGAAGGTGGATTTACCGAAGTGGAAGATTCTCGCTCCAAACTACTTTCAGCTATCCTCACCGGAGTGAACCGCGCACTTCCGTTTGCCAAGCTTGGTGCTACGGATTCAAGGTATTCTTTCAACGTCTGTATTGGGTGCGATGTGTTCGCTCATGAGAGAAACGAAAAGCTTGGGAAAGCACATCGACACTTTGTTCCTTATCACGCACAAGTCCACGTTCAACATCTCCCTCCAAGCTCTCGTTCTTATTCAGCAAATATCCTCGACGCTCATCAATCAGTCCAAAGCATCTCCTTCCAGTTCTTCTCAGTCGAAGAGTATAACAGACCGGTATTATCGCGCTCTATACGCGTCCCTGTATGATGGACGACTCGCAACGTCGTCGAAACAAACAATGTATCTGAACTTACTGTTCAAATCTCTCAAGGCAGATGGCAATGTGGAACGCGTCAAGAGTTTCGTCCGCAGGTTTGTACAGGTGCTGGTTAGTGGGGGTGCTGGTGGCAATGAATTTATCGTTGGCGGGTTGTATCTCCTTGGAGAGGTGCGTATCATTGACTGTGTGGAACGCAACGCTCTTATGTTTCTACAAGATCTTTAACACACTCCCTGGTTTGAGAAATTTGATGCGTGAGATGCAGAGCGCGCAAGAAGGCGACACGTACGATCCTCGAAAGCGCGATCCACAATACGCCCATCCATCTGCTTTTCCGATGTTTGAACTCGTGAGTCCCCCACTCCATTCTCGACCGTGATCATAGGGTTTATATGCCATACAACATAGCTACCCCTGATGCACCACTACCACCCCACGGTCTCTCTACATGCCCGCCAACTCCTCACATCTCAGCCGATCACCTCTGCCGCAGATCTCAACCTCAATACGCTTTCCCATTTCCTTGATCGATTCGTGTACAGGAATCCGAAGAAGCCGAGACCTAAAGGCGCGAGTGCCATGCAACCGAGTGCGAGCGCCGCTGACGGCGTGAGTGTCAAGAAGACGAAAGGAGAAGTGGAAGATGACGTCTTGCCAAACGAGGAGAAATTCTGGAAGAAGAGGGAGGAGGATGTGAGGGTTGACGAAGTGTTTTTCCACCGATACTTCTCTCAGAAACACAGACGGAGTAAGGTGACCAAGAAGGAAAAGGGTGATCAAAGTGATCAGAGTGATGAGGGCGAAACAGAGTCTGATGAGGAACTTTCTCAGGGAGGATCCGGCACTGGGGGTGATTCCGATGTGGAGGAAGGAGAGGAGAGCGAGCTGGACGAGAAGGCTGTATGGAAGGTAAGCATAGTTATTATGTTAAGCTCTCGCGTAGTTCATGCAAACCATTACTTGCAGGCGATGAAGGCGACTATGCCAGCAATGGAGGGCGACGATGAATTACCCTCTGAGCTCGACGACGATTTCCCATCCGAACTGGGTGAAGAAGAGGACGAAGATCTCTTATCCGAGTCGGACGAGGAAGATCCCCCATCCGAGCTGGATGATCAAGAAGACAAAGATGTCTCATTCGAGCACGACGACGAGAACGACGAGGAAGTCTCATTCGGGCAGGACGACGAAGAGGATGAAGCATCCGACGGGGGCGATGCTGACACACCCGAAGATGCCTTTTCCCTCGCAGAGGCTTCTGACGACGACGACCTCTTGGCTATTGATGACGTCCATGGACTGCTCGAATATGACAGGTCAGACGCGTCTGCAGGTGACGGTGAAGGAAATGACGAGCCGACCGGATTTGGGGGAGGCAGAGATAAGCGAAAGCGGAAAGGAAAAGGCGAGGATAAGGAGAGGAAGCGGAAGAAGCGGAAGACGTTGCCTACGTTTGCAAGTTATGAGGATTATGCGAAGATGATTGAGGATGGGCCAGAGGACAACGTGTAATCATGACAGATGCTAGACTCCTCTGTGCAGACCTTACTCGTAGTAGAGCAGGGTCGACTTGAACTTGGAGCCCACCGTATAGCAACTCGCCGTGGAAGCTTTTGATGTTTTCGGCTTTACTACGTTCTCTTCGTCCATCACGAATGCTTCACGTCGTTTCAAACACATGCCAAGGAACTTGCATTCAGAAAACCGTCCTTGCGGTTTCTTGCGCGTACCGACACTCTCAGGCTATACACGACGTAAAGTCATGGACGACCTTCGGACGAGATGGTGCTTATCTGCTTCATGGGCGAGTTCTGGCCCTTGCATTGTCGTTCACTCGCAGCCTTTCCACCTTGCGCGAAAGCCAAATCACGGATCTTGGAGCCTGAAGCCATCCTCTGCGACACCTCGTGCACGCCTGGTCAAGGGAATGGCTAGATTCCGTTGCAAGTTACGCGCTTTACGCTGCTTGCAGTAATACTGCTACTCTGGCCGCAATTCGCGAAATTCACTCAATGTCTGTCTTCGCCCGATCCCTCGATACGAGTATCCATATCATGGGTAGCCTATCAGATTGGGTGCAGCGTGATTTACTCGAGGGTACCATGTAACATTGCATTGGGTGGTGGGTCACCCGACACCCTGTATCACGGTGCAAGGACATTTACATTTGTGTTCTGCGGATAGGTCCCGTGAGGAGGCACGTTTCTAAAAAGAGGTACGGCCTTTAACCCCAGACCCATGGATATCGCGGAAATGATAGCCAAACTGGTCTTGAAAGTCACCCTATCAAGGTCGCCATCATCCATGCGTTGGACGTGTGTAGGTCTTGATGCTGATATAAGCGGAAATGACCATTCTCCACAGCACGCCAGCGTCCATCGTGTACTCCTGAAATTGGAATCCCTCCGCCATGCTCTTACGCCCTCCTCCGTCTAACCACCATCCTCTTAGAAGCGATGAGCGGCTTTATGCAGTGGAACGGTGATCAGGGTCAGGTCTTCAACCCATGGGCGTCACTGCACACCCACTCTCCGAAATCGCATGCTGTACGCGAACTCAGTGGTGATGCACAAGCACGCCTGAGTTCCGCGACAGCGAACGCGCGAGCCATCGAGGCATACTCATACAACCAAGCTCCAGGTGGTCACCCCAGTTCGACTACTGACTTACATGCAGAAAAAGAGAACATTCTTCCGCGATTTCGTGACAATTTGACTGTGAGTTCTCTAGCAAGCTCGTGTCGGAAATGACCTACGTGTCCAAACAGGGCGCTTCACCGAACACCGAGTCGAGGTCACCCGGGATGCCTTCACACAGTCACAATTGCTATACGGAACTTCAAGAACAGAACGCAGAATTGAAGGGAGCATTAAACAGTCAGCTCCAGCAAATCGGCGAGCTCCGTCTTCAGGTGTCTTCCCTTCAAAGGGAAGTAGTAACTACAACGTGGGTACTCTTCTTATGCAGGTCAAGATATTTCTGACAATCTCCGCGGCAGCGCTTCATATGAGCAACTACTTGCGAGAGTCATGGCATCGCACAACAGTATAACTCGACCACTTTCCTTCCAACCCTTCTTCCGCATTTTGAAGTTTGCGCGTGCAGCAAACTCTA